AGTTTGTTCTTCTGCTTAGAAACTTTGCCCTGCGAAGTCTGGCAGGCAAAATCCACAATAAATACTATGGTTTATAGTTACTGGGGCTTTTAAACCAAGTTACAACTGGGGGGCCTCACATTGTAATAAACCTCAATTGCAACTGGTTTAGCATAAAGAGTTTCATTGTTTGCGCCTCCGAGAGAGAGAGAGAGAGAGAGGCGTGCATTTTTCTCACAGGCTTCATGGAGAGCAGCGCAGGATCGGATGGCACCAGCACAGGCGTCAATGAGAATATTCGCTGCTATGCATGTGGCCGGGCATCACCAAAATGGACATTTACTTGCCACCAAGCTGAAACGGGCAAAGGGTTTTCTCTGTTTTGATGGCACCTTTAAAAGTTCATATGGATTCTATGGATGGTTCGGATATGCCAAAATCATTCAAAATCGATCAAAATCGTTTTTCTTTTCAATGGGAAACAACTGGGGCCAGTAAATTTTAACGGGGCAGGCTTCAAAACGGTTCAGGTTCACAGCCAAGATGTGAAAGCCGTGGGGGAAGCAATGTGTGTGAGACTTGTACCCCGACGTGGCGCTGCCACAGATGCAATGGGCAGGAAGGGCGCTGGGAAATTGTGAAGCTGGATGGTGGTTTCAGCGTTTTCCTTCCAACCAATAGGATTTAATCAGTTAAAATGGACTTTTTTATTTTCCATCCAACAAATGGGATGATGATCCCTTGCATATTTTTCAGGGGGCGGCTACACCACCAACCAAGGAGGGGTTACCTGGAAAACACCGGCTCAGAAATGACCACCACCAATGAGCGACCTTCTCACCGACGCCACAGAGCAAACCATAGCCAGTGGTGGTTGCCTCCCAGTGATGCCGTTTGGGCAGCGCAAGCTTGGAGTTGCTTGGCGTCGGGCAATTTGTTTGTTGCATCTCTGAAAACAATCCAGCGAGACTCGAGACTAGGGTTTTCCTTGTTTGACATCACTCAGGCTGGGACGACTGGGAGTGGAACGACTGGGACGGCCATGCTTGGTGGTCTCCATGGCAAGAGAGTGGACAGCCTCAAAGGCGCCTGACTGTTGATTCAAAATCAATATCGCGTTATCCTTGAGCTCACAATTGGAGCGCCTTTCTTTGGGAATGCTTTAATTTGATTGGTGGATATTCTATGATATTCTTACAAATAAGTGTTAATCTTCATATTTGTTTGTCCATCATCAATGGCCAGTGGAGGCCTTACGAAAGCGCATGCGGATCTACAGATCCAGTGGAGGCCGTGTCCGAGTATATTGAAGTGCAGCCAAAGGCCCTGAAACTTGTTATCGGACGAGGCAAAGAGAACATCAAGCGGTGGAAGAAACACTATGAGGTCGACATTACCGTCCGCACCAACGACACCGACGGGCAATTTGCGGGACGCATCCACGAACAAGCAGGTGCAGATTGATGTTGTTGTGATTTTTGATGATCTTTGACATGTCGTGATGTAGCATGCTTGAGTCACGAAAGCGCGCAGTAGTTGGTAAGTATCGCGAGAAATGTTGTCAAAGATGCTGCGATAGTCACTGCACAATCCTGTATGGCGCGCGAAGGCTTGGTGGTCACTGGAAGTGAAGGAGCCATCGAGCAAATCAGGCGCCACGTGCAGAAAATTCAAGGCAAGATGAACGCTGGAAGATTCCGTGACGAACCCGAAGAAAGGAGATTCTATGTGATGATGGAACAGGCCTTTCGATCATTAACCTTCTGCAAGGCTGACATGAACAAATCTCTTGCGAATTTCGCTTCCTTCACAAACCGGACATACTTTGAAGTGCAGGGGTTGAACCATGGCCGGAAGGAACCTTCCAACACACCAAGAGTGACGACGCTTTAATTTGCTTTGAACTGACATTGAAATCGTTTCAGCGATCAAACCAGCATAGGCCAGGATAAATGTGCAGCAATTGTGTGTCAGACTTCCTTACCTCCTGGTCAGTTGCTGTGACTTTAATCAAGAGCACTAAGGAACATCACTCTAAGCAGAGATTGTGCTCCTTTGGTCAATGACTTCCAAGAGCTTCTTCCAGTGTGGATGGAACAGATGGATGGAAAGGTCGATACGAAAGTGGTGGTCCGTTTGGGTCGCTTGCTATACTTTGGCAAACGAGACACCGTCAAAGGAGTCCTAAGCGAAGAAAAATTCAAAGAACTGATGCCCGGTCAGGACTTTGCCACACAATTTTCTCGCCATTTGCATCCTCAAAAGAACGTGGTTCAGCCAATGCTGGAAGGCTTGAAGGACGCTGGAAGGGGCACCATGATAGACTTGACAAAAGCAACTGGTCTACACCTGGAAGTTTTCCCTTTCCTTACTTATTCATCTTATTAAATGCCCAAAACGTTGTTTGACGGTCAGCTCGGCTCAGTTGTTGTTGCCTGAATTCACTGATTTTGTTCAGCCCTTGGCGCATGGACAGCTGTATATATTCCATTCTTTTGAACTCAAGGTTCTGCCATCATTGTCCTGTTTGTAATTGCAGTTTTGAAACTGGGATGTTTTCGGACAAAGATCAGGATGTCACTGCCTCTTTTCTATATTTTTGTGTCTGAACAATGAGCCGCGACAAGTGGCACCAGTCGCGTTTCCAACCATTGAGAAGTTGAACATCCCGTGTCATGTAATATTGAGTGTTTCTAAATGATCGACGCAGCCAAGGAGAAAAGACACCGCACGGAGCTGCGTTTTCATTTGGAGACGCCGGAGGGTTCAGCCCACTTTCCTAGAGAAATCGATGTCAAAACAGTAAAGATGCTTGGGTGATGATGGTTATTATATGTTCTTATTCTGTCTTGGGATTTCAAGAGAAACCATAGCACTCCTACCAAACCACAAGTCGAAGTGCGCTCATCATGCATCCCACATGCGAAACCAAGGACATTCCGGGAATTTATTTCAGAAGGCCCACAGGTACCCAGAGACATGGACAAAATGGACATATCCAGTACGAGCTCAGTGCATCTTGTTGCTGATGCAGATTTTGTTTCATCTCCAGTGGCTTTCAGAGTTCATGTTGCATCAGATGCTAACCGATCTGATCCTTGCCATGAAAAAAACCATTTGGTTTTCTTGTCTTGTTGTGGTTGCTCTAGTAATTCTGACCGCAGTGGGGGTTTGTTCATGTCGGGGAGACGAGCCATTTAGATGGTCAAGATATGACGTTTCCATAAATGGGGGTACCCCAAAATAGATGGCTTAAAAGGGAAAAAACAGATTAAAGTGGATGATAACTTGGGGTATCCCCACGACTTCGGAAACCTCCGAATATGTCGGGCCATACTCCGCCAGAATGCCAATAGTTGAGGATTTGAAACGCCAATTTCAGAAGGCCCAGTGGAGAATTTTGCCCGGCGATGGCGAGGAAGTTGGACTACAGTTGTCCAACTCGGAAGTCCGTTACACACTACGCAGGAAAAGCGAAACACGGGAAATTTGGTTTGATGGCTATGTGGAGATGATTTGGACCGAAGCAGTGGACACTTCGCCTGAAGAGTGTTTTTTTTTTTGGTGGGTTTGCCTGAAAATGAGGTGTAGCCCTAAAATAGCATGTTCAAAGGGGGAAATCGTGAGACAGATCAAATTTTTGGGTACCTAGTTTCAGACAAACCCACTTTTTTCACGGTCCCTTTTGCTCTTCGATTGCAGTTGTGTGCATTTTTTGGGAGGTGGGTGGGGCCATAAAGTCTGCAGGATCTCTTCAATGGCTGCCAGCTGCCGTATGACGGCTTGCACTTGTCTTCGCCGGCACTGAACGCAGCACTGAAAGCACGAGAGACTGCAAAGGCAGTCTGTGAATTTCAGCGGTTGCTAGACACTGCTCAACATTTGGTGTCGCGCTTTTCCAGATAGGGTCAAGAAGTGTTTGACATTTTTTTGAAAATAAAATCGACTCATAAAACGCACACTGTTTCTTGAAATCAAACAGTGTCTGATTGGTGTGATCTGCTGCAAACATTTCGCAGACTCCATGCACTGATGGGAAGGCCCTTACTGGATCCATGGAACTGAGAACATGTTCTATCATTCGGGTATACTTGAAATATCTTGAAATGAATAAAACATAAAGAATTCAATCCTAGGTTTGGGAGAATTCACATGGGTCCAGTTTATGTCTAGACTTTGCCATTGGCATCCCCTGAATTGAGATCCAAACTCTTCGAAGGATAGTTGGGATCTCTTCTTTGAGCGTCCATGATGAATTTCTCAAGGACCAAATCGAGGTGTTTGAAGGTACCGTGAGAAAGCGGCAGCTTCAGGTGCACAAAAACACCGAGTCTCACAAATCGAAGGTCAAGGTACAGAAAACATCATGCACTTAAACTGTTCAGCTGTTGAACATTGCCCACTTCGGCATGCCAATACATCATTATTGCGTTTTTTCCTGCTTTATTGTTGCTTGTGCTTTCGCTCATCAGTTGCAGTTGTACGGGCCAGCATCCGTTTCAACGACTGTTTCAACGATGAGAGCCGTAGCATCCATCTCTGGAAAAGCCTCCGCGCCTGCACGGTTTCATAGGTTGATCCCAGTCCACCAAGCAGGGCAGGTTTTTTTCCCCTCAAAAAAACATAGGGTACCTGAAAATCCGCTGATGAATCATTACAAAAACATAGGGTACCTCAAAATCCACTGATGAATCATTTTGATTCATCTTGTCCAAACAACGATTTTGGGGCTATCGCCTATTTTCAGATGCAGCGCAACGCGTTTTGAACAACCTCGGCGGCTCCGCTCTCGATGACTGGCTCGAAAATTAATCATCCCCAGGTCTGGCAGGTTTGTGCCATCAAAACTGTAGGAAGTTTATGCCGCCATATGGGGATTCTGATTGATAAATGATATAAATGGTGATCCTATTTGGTTTGGATGATCCAAAATTTATGGATCTGTGATCCGGTTTCACTGGGAATCGATCTGGGAAGGTCAGCTCCCAAACCTCCAAGCTGCACCGCTGCACCACTGATACCACTACCCGGCTACCGGTGCCATGCTGCTTGCTGTGTTGGGCATTGGGGGTGGGGCTTGCGCACTACATTTCCTCATCCAATGGCTCGTATGCAAAAGGATGCTGGGAAGCCCAGGGAAAGCCGGTGGAGCTCCAGCAAAAAAATTGGGCATTTTTTTTTTTAAACCAAAATGACCAGGTTCAATAGGATTTTCAAAGTTTGCTAAATAAATCATGTTCTCAATGACTTTATCATAAAGAATGTGTGTTTTCTTTCCTACTGCCATGTTGAACTACAAGGTTCACCAAGAAGAAATGGGAATAAAACTTGGGTTGACGTCGCCAAAATGGCAACCCGAGCTTTTGGGTGTAGGATGCAGTGGAAGTAGGTAGCTAAAATTCAGGGGCCGCCAACTGGCTACCAACTATTTCAAGGGTGCCATTTTGAGCATGGTCGGATCCAAACATTGCATTTGTTAGAATAATTGCTCCGATTAGACAGTCTTAAAGATCTTTGTTGGCAGAAAATCTGAGATTAGCAACGATCCTATCTTGTTGCTCCCCCCCAGTCCAGCAATAGGTCTCTGGCGGGGAAGCATGTACTGATCACAGGCGGTTCGCAAGGCTTAGGGCTGCTTGGATCGCGAGCCCTTGGTTGATGATGGAAAAACATGTAGTAACTAAATCTATTTAAATGGATACATGGTATAATTCTGGGATACTGTGCATTTAACTAATGGATATCAAATGGGATTTGAACTATCAAATCGGGATGTAAACCGATCAAATTTGTAACTAGTATGGTCAATGTGATGAATCCAGACGACCATCCCCAAGTTGGATTTGTTATTGGACATACCCTTCGGTAATCAAACATGGCAATGGGGAAAAATACGCAAACAATCGATGATTTCCCCATCTATAAACCTCCATTTGTAGGGGATTATCCAGCTAGCCACGTTTGATGACACCGGAGGGTAGTGCTATTCGGGAACGCTCTTTTCATCAGCCTCAGGCTCACAAGGCCCAATGACTGGATATGACTGGACCCAGACCCATGGGTAACCGTTGGTACTCAAACATGGCTGGAAATTCCACAGCTATAAACCTCATGGATTTCGTGGATTTTCTAGCTGGCCATCTTGAGGGTTTTTGTGGGATATGATCCAACCCAAAATGTCAATCCCATCGACAGTCGATGCCTATGATTGGATATGTGCAATTGATCTGGTTTTACGACATGTTTTCATCTGGGTTTTGAATGAGTCCAGTATGGGAACCCGTATCACCCACTCAGTAGCTCTTAATGTAGTAAACCAAAAGATGAAACCCACTTTTGGAAGATTTTGACCACCACCCCCAATTTTTGTTGAAGATATGGTTTATGATGAAACGGATTGACGACGTCGCTTGCTGGCTTCAAGTGGATGTGACAGAAGTTCTTACCGCTTCATGTCCCAAGAATAGACCTTGGGCATTGACTTTTTGCCATCGCAGTGCTGAATCTGACCTTATGGCATTATCCATACATGGGTCCAAAACTGACAACATGCGGAATCCCAGCACCACAAGGTAAATGACCAGGCTATTAGTTCACCAATGTACAAACAAAGGGTATTGAAAAGGCCCGAAGTGGGGCTGGACCGTTCCTCGTAGTTCATTGGATGTTTCTATTGTCCCTCGATTTCCATGGGTTTAATATGGTTTAATTTCGAATTTTCTGTGTTTCCACAACCCAATTATGTTTGTTGGTGTATGGGACCCGATCCAACTATAGATATATCCACCACAAATTAGCCAGTTAGCTTACTTATTCTCACCAATTTACTTATCTCACTTAGTTTTGCCAACTTACCAATTGTTGGTGCTTATATTGCCATGTTTTTTGGTTGGTGGTATCCCCATATTTGGGGTGGTTAAACCACCAATTTTACGTTTCCTAAATCACCTCTACTCACCTGTTTTTGGTGAAGTCCCAATATCTTGTCCACATTGCATCACAATTTTTGGTGACGAAATCCTATGAAATCCACATTTTTTACTTCCCGGTCAACATCTCGAGGGGGACGCGAAGCAACCCCCAACCGCCATCTCCTGCGTAAGGCTGTCGTTGGCGAAACTGTGCTACACCAAGGGTGCGAAGGTGACCATTGTGGCGCGCACCAAGAAGAAGTTGGAGACGCTTGGAAGATGGGAAAAACCAGGAAATGACGACTGGGTGACGACTGGGTGATTTGAGTAGTTAAAGATGGGGATTTTCGCAAACTCAAGATATCTAACTATCGGGATTTAGGCAACTAAACATATCTAGAGCGATTTAGCAAGCTCTCTTATTCTGTTGTATGGGAACGTGGGTTTGGTACCTGAAAAATTACGGGAAACCTCAAACACTGTCACCAAATTGCAATTTCATGGGTAATCATTCATCATTTAAGATGCAATTGTGTGAGTATGAGCGGGTAAATTTTATTTCAACGGTGGATGGTAAACCTGGGGTGATCCTCAACGACATTTCTGTTTGAACAGTTTTTCTGCAACCAGCAAGCAGCAGATATTGGCCAAGAAACATGTTGCGCTTGTTGCCCTGCAAACGTGGGGATCGACAAAAAAAACAATATCTATAAGCATGTCCAATCAAGGATGGTTGGTGAACCGACTAATGATGATTGCGGACAACAACCACCAGCATGGCGAATATGCCTAACAATGATGGAATGAGATTCAGCACGCGAGATGGAGCCGATAGCCACAACAATCGCATTTGTTTTGGGACATTGATTCGTTTTTTCATCACCATCCCAGCTACTGTGTTTTTTCCTTGATATTCCACCTCGAGATGTTTCTTGAAGGTTTTAAGGCTTTGGGAACTCTTACCAATCCTTCTTGATTACCTATATTGGCTACAGTTCTTTTTTCGATCTGCATTTTTTTTTGGAGAGGTTAGCCCACCTGACTGAACAATATATATATATATTATACATATATATATATATCATCTTGCTATTCATCGTTGTTGGTCATCCCCAGCAATGCTTGGCCAAGCAGAACTTCTCAGAACGCTGGGTGAATCGGAATCCAGGTCACCAGGGGTCACCAGGGGTCAATGAAGATCTGGGTGGCCGGTTGCCTCCCAAAAAGCCACGAAAACTGAGGCAAGCATGTGAGGAAGTGAGGAAAATCCAAAGCGAGACACCAGGACTGCGGGAGAGGAGCTGGGAGGTGAACAGGCCGGTGGAACAGGCCGGTGCCTTGGTGCCGCGTGGTGCCTTTCTGACGGGTTCTGAGAAGCCGAGAGCTGGGGGAAAGAGAATCATCCACCGTTTTCTGCTGGCATAGATCTCCTTTTTCTATCTTTTTCTCATTAGATTCATTAGTTGATTGCCCACGTTCGTCACGTTCACAACCTTTCTTGGGAGGTGATGATAAATATGATAAATGCAGGGCATACCAGACCAGTCTGACCAGTGTAGCATTTTTTGCAAAGGACATTGTTGTTACCCCCAGCGCCATCCCCATTGGCACATTGGTCACATCGCATTACATCGCCAGTTCCCCAAACCAATCGCAAGGTGGTCCCAGTGAGTTTCTGGTTTTTTCTTTGATCTACACAGAAACAGATCCCCCTACCTTGTAAAAGACACAATCCTCCTCCTATATATATATATATAGCCCCCATATATTCTGAGATATCCCCAGTATTTTCCGCGTATACCCCCATGATATCCATATTTGCCATGGTTAAATCACCACTTTCCCACCATTTTCCACCATTTATCCCTGGTTGGTGTGGGTTTCTCCTCGTGAGATTTTGCCTGAAGGTTGCAGCGCAGGAGCGAAGATTCAGAACATTTCGATGGATGTCTCCTCGATGCGCAGCGTCTTGCTATCAGTTCTTGCCAGCAGTTCTTTCCTATGAGATCTACCATTGAAAACATTGAACACATGTTCAGATGGTCAATCAAAAATAGAAATTTAACATGATTTCACCATTTTAACAATGAATAATGGAGTCTGGGTGTGTCTGAAAACAGGAGATTTACCCCCCAATTTTGGCAATCTTGATGGGGAAAATGATGATTAAGCAGGTCATGGAGTGGGAGTAACCTCTTTTCAGACAAACGCATATGTCTAAATGTATCTGTGTATGGTCAACCCAAAAACATAGATTTTCTTTGTATCCCCATGACATATCACTATTTTTTTCCTCTTCAAATTCCTTATGTTGATGGTTAAATGAACCATCTGAATGGTGAAATCTAGCTAATCCCACATTTTTTTCTGGTTTAACATCCACATTTTCCTGGGTGAAACCAGTGAAACCCTGATTTTCCTTGGGAATTCCTATGTTTTCCCATGTTTTCCGCATCCCCAAGGTGCCCACTTCGCAGAGCTCATGACCGAAGCCGCGCAGGCGGAGGGCTTTGGCCGCGTGGACGTGGTGGTCTGCAACGCCGGCACCGGTGGGGCGGCACAGTTTTGGGGGGCAACAATGGAGGGAAGATGATGGGCATTAATAGTATAAATGATGGTGAATACCAAATCATCCCAAATTGTCTATGGTTAATGATTAATAGTGGTGAACATCTATGAATTATTCATTAATAGTATTAATAATTCATAGATGTCATAGATGTTCACCATTATTAATCATGAGTCATTAACCATAGACAGTTTGGGATGATGGGCATTGATAGTACTACCATCTGGTTATGACTAACATAGCCATGGAAAATCCCAACCATAAATGGAGGTTTCGATCGCTGGGAAAATCATCTATTTCTATGGGCTATTTTCCATGGCTATGTTAAATATCCAGAGGGTAATAATTCATAGATGTTCACCACTATTAATCATTAACCATAGACAATTTGGGATGATTTGGTATTCACCATCATTAATCTATCAATGATCCATGTCTATTAATGTGGGTAAAACAATGTCATAAACCAGCCATGACTGGGAATGGTAAGTTTATACCACGTATAAAAATGGTGATGCCTGGGGATGGTTTATGGCATTGTTTTATCCACATTATATATATATATGACACTATTTGTATACCCTCTGGTAAACTAACATGACCATGGAAAATCACCATTTTCAATGGGTAAATCCACCATAAATGGTCATTTTCAATAGCTATGTTAATTTACCAGAGGGTAATATGTGTATTCTAATGCAATATTTAGTCATTTAGTCTATACATACTATATCATATATATATATATGATATATATATATATATCATATATATATATATCATATATATATATATGTATACTACATCTTGATATACGTATAGATACAGTATTCCATATTGTATAGCATATATTAGATACATATATCTACACATACACATGCAATGAACATAATTGGGCGGTAGGATGAACTGATCTGCATGTCTTTCTGCCGAGATGCCTGGTCATAGAAGTTATACATGTCATAGTAACTACAGTCTATGTATACACAAAGCCTAGAGTGTCCTAGAGGATCCTAGAGGTAGTCCATTTTGATCCATTTTGTATCATTTTTCTTCGTAGCAACGCATCCATCGGAGATTTTTTCAGGTGTGGCTAAGCTGCTGGTTGGAACACCCTTGGAACAGATCGATGAGCTCATGGATCCTCGGAAGTGGTGAGGTTCGTGGGAAAATTTGCGGCGTTCATCCGCCAGTGGAGACGCTTTCAAAATGGAAGTTTACTCAGTTGAACTGAGAGAAAACTGGCGATTTTTTGCGGGGAAATGGGCATTTGAGTGACACACACACACACACTGTGGGACACACATTTCAGTTTCAGCAGCAAAAAAAAAGGGGTTGCAGCTAAATCCCATTGGTTGATGGCAGTGGATATGATCCATTGCTTGACACGCAGATACTCAACGCTGACCTGTTCTGACTGCATATGGTACATGTTACAAATTAATTGTAGATAGATAGTGATTTCACAAGTTCATTTAAATCCAAATATTGATGGTACCCAAATTGTGGTCTCAATATGTCTTCGCTCCGATGATTCACCATGGCTTCATGGCTTCACTTGCCACTCACACATCAGTTTATTCAGATTTTCCATGCTTTTAGAATCTCCATTCCTAGATTTTTAAATCTTGAACCACATTTCTTTTCCATGATCTGATGGACTTATGGTGGCTTAAGTCCACATTTGTTCCACTTGGCTCAGGACGCGCAAATCTCTACCAACCTCCTTGGCTCCTTGCGCTGTGCGACTTGTTTCAAGATGGGGATGTGGCTGGAGAGTAACATTTCAACACAGGAACATCGAGATCATCAAACGCCGAAGTTAACTGATGGTAAAACCTCCATTTGATATGGAGGATTTACCATCATGACTTAAAAATCCATGGGACATGGCGGATTTACCATCATGATTTGTAGAAAAACACGCAATATATCTATATCTTTTGTTTTTTGATGATAATGAAACGGATCCTCGAGTAGATTCGATTCTTTTCTCCCAAGTTCTGTTTTGGGATGGGAGTATTCTGTCTACTCCAGGATGAGAGTGTGTGTTTGAGAAGGAACTAGGATGCTGGCAACAATGTGTGTATATGTGTATATATATATATTATACATATACATATACCTGGTTGGTGGTTTGGAACATGAATTTTATTTTTCCATTTCATATATGGGAATGTCATCAATTTCATCATCCCAACTGACTTTCACTCATCATGGCTCAGAGGGGTGGCTCAACCACCAACCAGAAGGGTAGGTAAGTGGGTTATAACCCCAGTTATAAATGGGATAAGTAGAGTTAATCTAATCCACTTATAGCTGGGGTTTTATAAGCCACTTACTAAGATCATAATGTGTATAGTGAAAACTTTCCTCACATCGACCATCGACAGAAAATGGATCTCGGAGGTGCCCAAATTTGGAAAGGACTGGTCGGATGTCTTGAGAAAATCCACAGAGTCTTTGTCGGATGATTCTTCCATAAAACCAAATGGCTATGGGTCAATACCTATAGATACCATTTTTAGTGGGATGAACATCCATTTACCAGCTATTTTGATGTTCACTAGGTACCAGGGTTTTGACCCACCCCCAAATCATTTCAATTCAATCATCTGGATCGGATAAAAGAAAACCAGAACAAAAACAGAACATCTTTATCCGATCCAACATGTCCAACATGTTCTATAACAACAATCAACAACATATTTCTATAATCAAACAGTGCAAAGGTGTCACAAATAAGCTCCCACAACAAGAAAAACATCTTACTCAGTCTTACTCCATTCTCCATTGATTCCCCGTTAAAATCCTCATGTTCTTCCCATCTTCCCATGGATTTCTCCATGTTCCATCGATTTCCCTTGGACAAATCCTCCATTTTTCCCCCGAAAATTCTGTTTTCCAGGCCTCTGCGGCTGCCCAAGTCATGGCCAGCGACGGCCTGGGGGGCCGCGTCTGCATCGTGTCCTCCGCTGCGGGGCTGATCTCCTTGCCCGGCTATGCCGTGTACTCGGCCACCAAGTTTGGACATCGAGGAGCCGGCTTTTTTAGACGGGGACTCCACGTGTTTTTTTTTCTGAGGGCTGAAACCATGTTGGTCATGGTTTCTCATGGTTTCTCTGACCATTTGGGGAACATACACAGAAAACAGACACACACACACACTAGTGGTTTATCATCATTTTCACTTTTTTAAAGATACCAACTTTTTGGAGTTCCATATGTCAACAGGTAGGGAAAACCCGAAAACAAGCCCGGCAGCCCATCCGGCGGAGTTCAACGCCAGGATTCTTAGCTGGAGCATATCACGAGCTGCAGCAACATGGAGTGGATCTTTCTGTGTACTATCCCGGAAGCTGCTTCACCGCTAAGCTCGGGATGGAGAGAGGGCCCCATCTTTGGCATGTAAAGAAACATCATATAGGATATATCTATATAATATACATATATATATGATTATACATTATATCTATGTCTATAACATATATATATATACACATATAGATAAATATAAATATAGATACAGATACAGATGATATAGATAACTGGTAGCAACTAACACGTCGGTTTCAACGCTGGCGCGTTTACCACGTTCGGGTGTAAACTGCTGCCAGTGATCTTAGCGATTACCCGTGGTAATCATCGCCATTGAACGTCATTAATCGGTAAATCATCGAACATTGGCCTTGGTCAAGCTCTTGAAGGTGATGCAGCTTGCATTTACCCTCTGGTAAACTAACATAACTATGGAAAATCACCATGCTATTAATGGGTAAATCAACTATTTCAATGGCCATTTTCAATAGCTTTTTGCATGTTTACCAGAGGGTACATTACATGAATTTACATGGGCCAATGCCAGTTCCAACTTCCCCTTTCGCTCGGCTTTTCTTCAGCTGCCACTGAGGTATTGAAACCCCGGGGTTTGAACATGAGAAGCAGCTGATGCCTACCGTGACCTCCAGGCTCCAGCGGAAATTCTGGGAAATTGTGGAGTTTTTTTTTGTGGCCAGATGATCATTGATCATCTGTAACTTTATGCGAAAGATATCATTGATGATTGATAATCCCAATGAAATCCTATCAAATCCCTATTAAATCCATTTACCATCTGGTTATGACTAACAGTTTGCCATGGAAAGATCCACCATGCTATTAATAGGTAAACCTCTATAAATGGGCCATCTATACCATGGCTATGTTAAAAAACCAGGGGGCAATTTGATTAATGCATGGATTCTGGAAATCCCCAGCTTTGTAACCGTGGATTGTGGAAATTCTAGAAATCCCCCACTAGGATCCCAAATGCCAAGGAGCCACCACTGATTTTGACTCAGGGCCATCTCCATATCGGAAGCTGTAGCAACATGCCGAAACATCTCAAAAATAGGTTGGTAAAGAGTCCATCATTCCATTATTCCCAAGGAGCATCTCTTGCAAAAGTCCAGGTATGGACCTGAAATGCCCCACACCAAAATCATTTAATGAAACTGGGGTGTTTTTTCCGGGACATTTTAGATTTTGAGATGAATGGGTATTTATTTACGGTAAAACGATGATTAACATTCGAACCTCGATTTTCGGCGAACAAAAGCAGTGGCACGGCTAGTTCTGAAGCCATCTGCGGGGGGTCAACTCTCCTCAAAATGATGTACCTCTATCATCCCAACTGCAGTTGCAACCAATCCCTTTCCCAATCTACAGCATGGTTTGGTATTGGATTTTTTGGCCCAAAATTCATGTGGTATTCAATAGCGGACAAGAAACACCACCATGAAATCATGAAACCCGATGTTTCATCCCCATGAAACATCACCAGCAACCCATTTCACCGGGTTTTTTGGGCGTTTGTTTGACCCAGTGATGGCTCTCAAAGTTTCCAACCCTGCGCCGCCCTGCCCCCAAAAGTGTGGGTCAGGATTGAAAGTTCCTGCTCGGATGTTGCTTGGTGAGAAGTTTGAGCAATGTCACAATGTCCACCAGGGCTACCTTCTTGTAAACTAACAGGTTGCTATGGAAAATCACCATTTTTCATGGGAAAACTCACTATTTCTATGGCCATTTTCAATAGCAAACTGTTAGTTTACCAGAGGCTAATTATGATGGAGCAACCCCACAATTGGAAGAAAATGCACTTTCCAAATGTTTGGAATGTGAAATTTGACATGTGCGATCTGGAAAAATGCACGAAAATCGTCAACTTCCCACATTTTCTCCGTTAACTTTCTCCATGAACTGCGTAGTCTATTGATTTGTTTGGAATGTGAAGGGCAACGTTTGGCAAGGCTTTCTTCAGCACACTGAAAAAAAGAGCGGTTATGACTTATCCTGGTACGACTCATCAAATACAGGTACCACCATTGTTGTTATATAACATTATATAACAGTTATTAATAAGAGGTATTATTCTTTACACCATTATATAACATTATATAACAGGTATTCATGTTATTATTGTTTATTATAACAGGTATTATATACCATTCATACAACATCTGGATGATTTTTTCCATGAGCTGGGATGAGCTGCGATGTCACTGACACAAAGAGAGTCATCCCCACACAGCCTTTCAAGTTTCAGGTATTTTGAGCTTGGTGAACTACAATTCAGCCAGATAAGATTATGATTATTGGGTTATAACCATTATGTATGTATATATATATGTATATATATATATATGTAATGTCAACTAGAAACTTGGAATTGACAGGGTGAAACAACCATACGGTCTAATATTAACTACAAAATGCTACACTTATGGTTGTGTTATCGTCGCTGTTATTGTGATCATATCAATTTTGTTCTATTCTTATCAACCTTAAATGACAGCAACAATACTGACATTGATCTCACCTACAATGATTCATCATAACTGAACTTTCTCCTATTTGAAAAACAACAACAACAACAACAACAACAACAGTAACAAGTTATATAAACACCTATTTTCTGTTTTGTCATGAATAATTCCAAACATGTTAGTTTCTTTTTATTATATGTATATATATATATGCCAATGAACATCATCCATTTTGAAATCCCGCAAGATATAAAGGCACCGTCCAATCCTAGAACAGTGGTATGTTTTTTACTATTTTGTCTGGCAGCTTCGATAACCATGATATATGTAGCCAAACATCCACCACAGAAATTTTCACTGTGACTAAATCTGATCTTCCACTGTTGCTACTACACCTATTACTAGAGTTACTAGACCAAGTAATAATCAAAGAGTATGATGATTACAATGTTGATAGTGTAGTAGCAATATCATTCTATGATCACTATCACTATTCATACCTACTATGGTTGTATACCTATACTACAACCATCCCATTTTTTTTGGAAATTCACCCTCCCATTTTCGGTGGCCTGTCGGACCTGTCGCTGTTTTTTGAGGTCTCCAAGGCAGATGATGCCGCTGCAGTGCTGCTGGCGGGCATCGAGAAGGGGACCAAGGTTCCGGCCGGAAAAACTGGTTGATGATGGGGAGTTTATGATGATTTAAGCAGCAAACCTAGGGAGATATAGTTGATTTATGGTGATGAAAACCAATGTTTCTGGTGATTTTGTTGTGATTTAAGCATCAAAAATATGGGGATATCTCTGATAAATGGTGATTTACCCATGATTTATTGAGTTTGACCATGAAACATATGGGCATATAGCTGATAAACAATGGTTGGTTGATGTTTATATGGGGTTTCTACCAAATATATTGGGGAATATCATAATCCATTCGGGGAATCCTATCAACCAGCTAGTATGAAGGGACGACGTAGGATTTTGAACACTGCTCAGGTGAGGAAATCTGAGAAAGTATGGGAACACATGATGCAACTGGAGATTTCTTGATGGGAAAGATAGGAACATCTGGAGACTTTCCATGGGAAAAGATAGGAACAACAGTGTACCTGGAGTTTTTGTAAATGCGAAAACATGTGGGAAAATCATTCCATATGGGAAAATCTGATGCTTTTTTCAGCGGTGTTTGGATGGTGAATATCAACATTTTGATGTTGAACCATCCATCGCAGCTCCATTAGCGACAATGGGGGATATTCACGAAGCATGTCGGGATTTGAACCAGACAGAATGGTTATGGGCTAACAGTTATACCTACTAAATCCTACTAAAATATAGCGGTATGTCATTGGGGTTACAACAAGCATTTCACTGGGTATGTCATTGGGGTGTATTCGTCGGTGGATCTTAGGGGGGGCCATGCTTCCAGAATCCCCAGAATCCCTGGATGACATAAGACCCCGCAATGGCTTCACTGTGAGGGAGATGGGGTTTGTTACCATAAATGGAGGTTTTAATGGGAAAATCATCTACAAATGGGCCATTTTCCATGGCTATGTTAAATAACCAGAGGGTACATGATGGATCATTATCCCTGATGATGATCTCAATTCACTTGCTAAATCCCATCAAAAAGACGCTTAAAACAACAAATCGCCGAACTAAGAACTACCCGTTTCCATGGGCAAAAATCCCATATCAAATTCCCATGGTATCATCATGACTTTGCACGTAAAGTCATAATTTTCGATGGCAATTTTGATGTTTTTTCCCCAAAACTCTTCAGTGGTGAACTCGAGCCCAGCACTTGGAGGATCAACTAGATCCAGGGTTTCTTGACCCATGGATGGCAAGGTTATCAACCAGTGATCCGCGATCCTCCGGATACGATCACCAATGAGCTTACCTGGCTTACCTTTTCTGGAAGCAACATATTTAACCAATATTTAACATAACATTTCACCCTTCATCTGGCGCTAAAACTATCATCTCCAAGCCTTAAATCGTTAGTAACTGCCTTTTTTTCGGGGATCGTAAGTCCCCGATTCGTGGGTTAAGCCGGATGATCCTCCATTGTTGGTGCAATCTGGTGAAATCCCCATTTTTCTTGGTTAGATCAGAGAAAATCCCCGAATTTCCAAAAACACACTAATTTTCATTGGTGACATCTGGCTAAATTGACCAACCGCTGGAGAGTTTGCCATAGTTGGCCCAAATTTCGCCATCAACACATTCCTATCCTCGTACTTTGCCTGGATTTGCTGAAGATGATTTTGGTCCTTTTTTCCCATTGCTTCATCCAGAAATGGGGAATCTACTACTGGATTATTATTATATATATATGTACATATATATATATATATGTACATATATATATGTACATATATATATGTATATATATATATGTATATATATATATGTATATATATATATGTATGTATATATATATGTATATATATATATATGTATATATATATATACACACGGCATTTTTCAAAGAGGGCTTCCTTTAGGATTCCTGAAGCTTGCATCCAAGTTCGCGGAAAAATGGGCACCGCACACACCAGGAGATCACCAACGAGCTGCTGCCCTCGCTGGTGGTGGATCACCCCACTGGCTTTGCGCCGCTGGATGCTCTGGTGGCGGCGGTGACTGGGTTGACCGGGCGAGGTCACCGGGGGGAAATTTATGGGGTTCAAAAGGAGCTGGAAAAGGTGAGGATTTCAAGTGGTAAAATGGTGATTTTTTCGCTGAAGAAGGAGAGTTTCTGGTAATTTGACCTAGAATAAATGATCTAACAGACTCTAACAGGGGATTCAGGCAATAAACTTGGAATTTTGAGCTACAAACGTGGCGATTCAGACCACAAAAAGCGTGTTCGAACCTGCAAACGTGATCAAACAGGTTAAACACGGTGATGTAAGCAACCATATTGGCAAATTATCGAAGCAAACGCAGACATTTAACAAAGAGAAACGGAGATTGAACAAACAAAAACCAGGAATTTAAACAACAAGGTCCGGATCTAAACACACACACACAAGCTTGAGAAATCCGCAACTCAAACTGAAATGGGTATGATGGTTTCGGAAGATCTTCTGGTGGTGGACTTCTAGATATGAAATGGTTTTCGGGTTATTTTCTAAAATGGTGTTCGGGTTCTAGTCTTTTGAGTTTGATCGATATGCACATACGTCCTCACTTTGTGGGTATTATGCATGGTGACACATCACTTTTTTGAATGGTTTGATAGCCGTCAACGCCCAAAAGGATGATGATTTTGGAGGAAATATATGGACCCCATAGTATCATAGCCCTTTAAGGAAATTGACACCTTCGCACGCCCTTTTTTTCACGATTGGTACCCACATTGGCAACCAGGGTTCCCAAATGGATTTGTCCTCAATGCAGTGACTAGATTCCTAGATCTTCGGACCTGGTGATCCCCTCCGTGCATTTTTCTCCCAGCCTCGAGCCATTTCACGCCATTGAAGCCCTCCCGAGACCCCGAGAACACACCCAGGTGACGCAGTGCATCCGGGCAGGGTGGTCCACCTACCTGAGGGTCATGGCCCGACAGCCTCACGGGCGCAACGGTGATGGGCCATTTTTTCATGGAGATTTCAGATGATTTCACAGGGGAAAATTGTTGGATTTTTTTTTTAATTTTCTGGTCCAGTGGGGATGAAAAACTAGGGTCAGATGTTGCGGAAAAAAATCAGAAGGACATGACCAACATTAGCCAACCATATCACCATATCACCATATCACCATATCCATTTGGGTCATAGGGAGACATGATGAGGACTAAATCTTTGTGAATCCCAAAGGTTGGAAAGCAACAAGTGGGATCTGTCGATCCCATCGGTGATATTTTTTCAGATTTTTCTGCAAAGTCTTTGTGAAGATCATCTTGGTTGGTGGTGACTGGAACCATGGAATTTTTGATTAGACTTTCCAGAAACAGTTGGGATTAATGGATTATAGTGGTTTAATAGATTTTAATGGTTTTTTCCAGAAACAGTTGGGAATGTCGTAATCCCAACTGACTTTCACTCCATCATTTTTCAGAGGGGTAGGGCTCAACCACCAACCAGCATCTCTCGCAGATCTTTTTTCCTCTGAGTTTGGGGGAAAACAGAATACCTCTGATTTTCGAGCAAAAAATGGCCAGTGCATTTTTGAGTATTTCTATATTTTAATAGGCCAGTGGGGAAGGGATTCTTTTGGCTTCCGAAGGTTCACTGTTGAGTTCACCCCCGTGACATCAATCCTGGGAACAATGAAGTGCTGTGTTTTTTTGTAGCGGGATTTACCCGTGATTGAGGCAGTGACAGGGGGTTCCCTAACCAATTGAAAGAACAGAAAAGCAAAGACATTTGATATATTTGATCGTGATTTACTTGCCTCCTATGTTTTTGGACCCTGCACGTTTGTAGGTGCTTGTTCCAGTGAAATGATGTATTTCTCAGATGATGGATTATCATGGATTATCATCTATGAATGGCAGAGTGATTACCATCTCACTTATTTCAGTACTGTATCCATGATTTTCTACCATTGACCGGGGTATATTCCACCACACAATGTTCTCATTCAGATACCGTCCATTGAAATGGGGGATGTCCCAGCCAGGTTTGATGGGATTGGTATATTTATCCAAAAAAAATATCCACATTAAATGCAATTTTCTATGCCATTACTGGTTGGTGGTTTGGAACATTGGGATTATTTTTCCATAAACAGTTGGGAATGTCATAATCCCAACTGACGAACTCACTCACTCCATCATTTTTCAGAGGGCTAGGGCTGGCTCAACCACCAGCATTTTCTATGCCACCAGGTTCTCATTCATTTTACGCCACAGTTTATGGATGCCTGGAATGGACTCTCGGACTCATGGACATCCCTAACTCCGCTCCAAGGTACATCAGTCCAGTGAGCCGCAGTGCTTGAGACCAGTGCAAGCGCCGTGAAAATGGGTGATTCGTTGCGTTTGTTGTCCCAAAGCATGGGGAAAACTCAATGGATTTCATCGAAATCAATGGGATGATTTTTTAGGACTCTACGGTACCATATTTGAAGCCACATTTTGGAGACATATCCTTTTGCATAGCCCTTACATAGGCCTGAAAAACTGCGTGTGGGTGTGAAAAATATCAGCGTGGGTTATTTAGTGAGGACGTGCGGCCATTTTCAAAACTGGGGGAAGTGGCGCCGTTCTTTTTTTCTGCCCATGTGTGTTGACCAGGTGCATTGGTGGCATTTTTTGAAGCTTGTTTCAATTGAATTTGGGTTGAATTATTATGAATTAATTACTGTAACGAGTATTACAAGGGAACCATAGTCTTTTCAATGTTGTTTCCTTCGCCTCTCGGCATTCTTCGGGATGCCCAGTCTCCACGACTGTCCATTGCCCTGCAACTCACCATTGCCCAGCGGGGTTTGCGTCGTTTGAAAAATCCATTGCCGTCATGCGCCCGTCGCTGCTTCTTTTGACTTTGTGCTTCGGTCGCAGATGGAACTTGAGGTGGAGATGATGGGCAATGATCCCACCCCAGGAGGAATCTGAGAGAAAAACATAGAAAAACGGCCCGGTAAACGTTTACCAAAAACGGACTGGAAAGATCCAGCATTTTCAATGGGAAAATCCACTATTTCGACTGGGTCATTTCTTCAATAGCTATGTAACAGTCATTACCAGATGGTTTTCACATATTTCAAGATGCTAAGCCCGTTTCTGTGGGCTTTGATCCCCACCCAGATAATGTGTAACTCCCTATAACAACCAATCAAATGTTCATCGAAGTTCAGAATTTCTTAAGCGATCTTCGGGGTGGTCAAGCTGTCAAGCTTCGAGGTTGAATCGTCATCCCTTGTTTGTTGATAGGGACCAGTCTCCCAAGAATCCAAGGCTTCATAATTATATATATATATACATATATATATACATATATATATATACATATATATATATACATATATATATATATACATATATATACATATGTATATATATATATGTACATATATATATACATATATATATATACATATATATATATATACATACATATGTACATATATATATATATATGTCAGTACTACTATCCACCCACAACGTGAGGCGCAATCATCATAATCATCCCAGGCAGAGGTTAGATACCGAAAACTCACTCCTGCTACTGTAGATGTCACAGTCAGACAATCTGAAACGGGGATCGCCCTGTGTGCATCCCAGTTGGTGCGGTTGCTCTCCAGGCCTTTTTTGGCCAGTTGTATATGGGATGCTTACCCCATAGGTTATCATCCCATAGGTTATCACGTGCCTGGTCCTAGTTCTAAGTTACGACCCAGAAAAAAAGAGCCACTTTGAGTAGTGTTCAAAACCCCTGTTGGTTGATGATACTTGCGGGGATTGTGCTACCCTTTATATTCGTAGGGGTTTGTCATAATCCATGAACTGGGAATCTTTCGCACGGTAACCAACCAGTATAACAGGCAGAGTGACATTTTGCGGTTTGAACATCCCAGTTAGTTGTTACGTTGCTTCATTATATCTACATTACCCTCCGGTAAACTAACATAGCTATCGAACATGGACTATTTATAGTTGATTTACCTATTAAAATTTGTGATTTTCGAAAGCAAACTGTTGGTTTACCAGAGGTTTTTTACACCACGATCATATCCTCACTTCCCTGTTAGGCAGCTGGCCGACGCTCGGACGATGGAAAAGCAGGGCGGTTGAATGCTGGGTTTCTCTGAGCATTTTAGGGGAGAAAAACCCAATTCCAATGGATGTCCATCATTTTCTAGGGCATTTTCCCGATTCAAATGGTTTCTTTCTTTTGTGAGTATCCACAATTTCCAGACACACCCAATTTAACCATATATTAGCCATATATTAACCATATATTAACCATATATTACCATATTTGGTATCAGTTGTTGACCAGGGATGTCAGAGATTTGGATCTGTCATCGCGAATGTCCCGAGTGGAGGACTTCGGGTATTGGACGTGTTCCAACTACTTTCTAGGTCCAAATGGTTTTTTTTTGTCCAGAGATTTTAGCCTATTCTTAGTATTGACCATGTAATTATTGGGGTATCCAAGTTTGACCCATACCCAGTTGATTTTTGCTACTCTCCGGTCTCCACTCTGTTCTGGCCACAGGGATTGATGCTGCTACAGTGCAATTCTGACCCGAATGCCGAATAACTTCAGTATGGATCTATCCAGTATCTATAGCAAACAAACAAAACATAGAAACACCAAATCACACTGAAATAGTGATAATGTGGGCAAAACAATGATAAACCATCCATTTGAGAATGAATTATACCACCTATTTATCGTGATTTGGGGGATGGTTTGTTTATTATTGTTTTACCCACCTTAATGACTTTTCCTTTTTTTTTGGAGATTACTATCTTGTACAGTATATTTATAGCCTCCCAAAGTTCTTCAGGTCAGTGGTTGGGCCCAGTTAGACCACCCATCCTGGAGAGGTGTTGGAAGACCCTCAGATCTCTGCCCCCACCTTTTTCAGTGCTTTGAAATCCCATTTCTTTGAGGATTTTGAGGGTTGCAACAGGCTTTCTGGTTGTTGAACATCCCTTTTTCATCCTTTTTCTGAGGCTTCAAAGCTCAGACATTGCAAACTGCTTTTGGCAGTTTTCACAGAAAATTTGTTGCTGAAAGAACCGCATCTTCAGCATTTTGGGCTAGTTTCATCATCTGGGTATAGGTCAAAATTGGGTACAACAATTAGATTCATGAGATGGTTAATAGATGGTTATAATAGTTACTATTAACCATATATTAGCCTCTAATTGTTGGGGTACCAAATTTTGATTCTGGTTGGTGGTTTGGAACATTTGGATTATTTTTCCATTCAGTTGGGAATTTCATAATCCCAACTGACTTTCACTCCATCATTTTTCAGAGGGGTAGGGCTCAACCACCAACCAGCTAAATGTCCATTTATAGTGAGGTTTCCCATTAAACATGGTGATTTTCCAAAGCAAACTGTTGGTTTACCAGAGGGTTTTTTAAAATTTTCCCATAAAAAATGGTGATTTTCCCATTAAAAATGGTGGTTTTTTACAGAGGCTACTGGATATGTCATGAATCCTAAAATCTTTGGATCCCACAGGTCTGTGTGGCGGCACGGCGCGGAACGGGCAGCAAGGAGCCCAGGCAACATTCGGAGTCAGGAAACTCCATCCCCCCAAAATGATGAAATCTATATATATATATAATATAAATAATATATACTATACATAATGATATATATATAATATACAATATATATATATATAATATACAATATATATATACAATATACAATATATATATATAATACAATATATATAATATACATATTCGTATAGATACATATTTTATGTATGTATAGAACCACCCCCCCGAACAAATAGAAAATGTCATTTCCTGCGAAGGGTAAAGGATTTTCTATACTTTTTTATTTTCTTTGGGTTGATATACTTACATAAGGCTAAGGTCGGTGACGGAAATGGTGATTTCACCACCAACAAATGGGGATTTGATGGGCAGGTTGCAAGGTCGGGGGTTTGTTGGTGGATGGAGTACGTTTTATTTGAAATGTCACGATTCTTTCCGCTCCATGGAATCACAATTCTGCAGAATAACTATGGAAAATCACCATTTTATAGCTGGGTACTATTTCTATGGCCATTTGGTTGCTGAATTTCCAAAAAAGGTCAATGAACCCCCCCAGTTATCGCCATTTCATCGGGAACATGGTGACCAAGGGACCTGGAGGTACCCCCCATTTTCGGAGCTTCAAAACCGCAGGCGCTATGAGAGGGCCATTTCGAGTTTCTTAGACGCCTCTGAAGGCCGCCTGGGGGCTAACTTCAAGCAGGAATTTGGATGGACAGCCCTTGGGTTTTGCAGGAATTACATGTTAAATCGTGGATTCTTCACATCAGACTTGCTGTTTTATGTTGTCTTGCACCCCCCTTGATCAAACAGGGTTTACAGTGTGGATTTGTGTTCCATGGAAAATCTGGTTCAATGGTACTATACATGTACTGATTTGGGCCGTTGATTGGGGGTCTTGGTTATTGCTGGAAAGGACTGATACCTTGGTCGGAATCAATCAAAGAGGGTTTATGATTTACTTGCCCCATGGTTGACATCAAGTTGACATCATATATTCCTGGTGGTTGGTTCTTGCGCTTGGGATTATTTATTAGACAGACACTGTAGTTCTGTGAATCAGACAAGACCACGAGATGAACCTGCTTTAAACACTCCTCCTGTTCCTTCTGAAGGGAAGCCCCTTCAGCAAGACCCCTTTCCACTTGGATAGTAGAAGGATGGTTTCGCGTAGATTATCCTCCAAATCAATCTGGTCACCATCCATCCATCCATCCATCCATCCATCCATCCATCCATCCATCCATCCATCCATCCATCCATCCATCCATCCATCCATCCATCCATGGGTTTCAGCATATGTGTTCATGTGTTCTCTAAAACAAAAAAGAACCATCAAGGACACCAAATGCCACAGTTGAACATTCAATTCCGAATCAAAAAGGGGCAATTTCCTGCCCCATTTTTGAGCAAACGCTGTGAGGCCAGTGATTCTGGCAGGTCTAAAGAAGACACACATCATTTTTTCATTGCAATGTCATATGAACCAAGACATACCACTGATATGGTGTATATATATATACATAACTTTGGAGGTTCATACATTCTGTTATATATATAATATGTGTGTATATATATATACACAATATCACATATAATGCGTCATATGTCATATATCATTTATCATATATTCTAATCGCCATGGTAGCGACCCACTCTTCAACCGAATTCATCCCGCCAAGCGTCAAGGCGTGCTGGAAGAGACGTACGAGCCCCGGCCATCCAATGAATCGTGGTGAGTCCAGAGAAGGGGAAGCACCCAATCTATGGCAAAACTGACGATTTCCATAGATTTTCCACAGATTTACCATAGATTTCCACAGATTTACCATAGATTTACCATAGATTTCCACAGATTTCCATAGATTTACCATAGATTTACCATAGATTTCCGTAGATTTACCATGGATTTACCATAGATTTTCCATAGATTTCCATAGATTTACCATAGATTTCCATAGATTTACCATAGATTTACCATAGATTTTCCATAGATTTCCATAGATTTAGCATAGATTTACCATAGATTTACCATAGATTTCCATAGATTAACCTGATGATGAACCCTGAAACTTTGTAGTTTTATTCCCATATTTCCAGACAAACAAATGATGAAGACCTGTCCGTATATTGCGGGAAATCCGAAAAATAATTTCCAAATTCTTCGGCGACTGAAAAGATGAAAAACAACTTATGCAACAAATGGGTACGGTTTATCATTGGGTTGATGCCTTAGAACCCCAGCTGTTCATTTTAGTACCAGGAAGCAGCTCGAATCCATAGCTTTTCACCAAGATCAGGAAGCATCGCAATCGACCCAAAAAGGGGTCGAAATGATGGTGATTTTTGTCCAAACATGGCGTATAGTAACCCACATTACTAGACGCCAAAAAGTATGTCCAGCAGTCCGATGATGTTTTCCCGGTACTTTCCAGGTGTACAAACTTCTTGCCCCTCTTTCGGGGCTGTCACACCTGTAGAATCCAGTTATGTAGAAATCGACTGCCTCTTCCTTGTTGAAATGACCATGGATCGCGGTGTACCCCTCCCTTTTCAGACAAACCAGCTAGAAAAAAACTCCAAAAATGGTGTGGGAAAATCCAATTACCTTCATTTTCCCCATTTTTCAAGTGGCCATACATTTGGGTGTATCCGGTGGACAAGTTTGCAGTTTTTTTTTTTCAGTCACTTCATCACTTCAGCGAAGTGCTCCCCCTGGGTTGGTCAATGTGACAAAGCCTGGTTGATATGGACCCCTTTTTGGGGTATGGCTTTGAATATGAAGGTTTCCTAAAATGGCGGTACCCCAAGTTCGCTGGATGATTTATGTCATGGAAAATCCTAATCTCAAATGGATGATAAAAAATAGGGCCTTGGCCCTATTTTTTTTTAAAACCACCATATCCCCACAAAGCAAAGCAGGCCATTCATGATCCATCTGGGGGATCAACGAACCCTAAACCCTAAACCTGGTTATGACATTCACAGGGCTAGCCATGGAAAATGATGATGGCCCTAATCGAAATAGATGGTGAACAACTGGGTTTACCTAGCTATAAAATGGGTGGATTTTCCATGGCGAACTGTGAATGTCATAACCAGAGGGTAAACTATTGGTGAATTTCCCCTGTTTGAGCTGATGAAAAATCCCAGCTCTTTGTTGGCATCCCAATTCTCGTCCATAGGCTCAATATAGTAATATAGTACAAATACAGTACAAATATAGTACATGAATGTACATGCATGTACATGACTAAAAAATAGTTCATCCGGCAATTCACCACCATAGTTAGTTAAAGAAACTACTTATTACCCTCGGGTAAATTAACAGTTCGACCCTACCAGATAGGGGTTGGAAGATTAGTTTCCATTAAACAATTGTTATTTTCAGGGTCTATTTCTGTTAATTTACCAGATGGTATATCCCATTTCATCCCCATTGCTAGGTAAATCCCAATGAAACCCTATTAAATCCTATGAAATCCCTATTAAATCCCATTAAATCCCTATTAAATCCCATTAAATCCCATTAAATCCCATTAACTATGTTTACTATTCGTTTGATTCACCACATGACTATTCGCGTCCGAGGTCCAGCGCTGGCATGAGCAAAGTCTTCTGCACCTCCAGGTTCCTGCTTTCGGGTTCCAAAAAAACGGGTCCACGCATCGTAGCGGGTGAAAATAACAGCTTTTAAATAGGTAGTCATTAGTGAGTAATCCCAATTAGTTAACAAATGTCAGTAAATTCATTAGTGAATAATCCCATTAGTTAACAAATGTCAGTAAATTCATTAGTGAATAATCCCAATTAGTTAACAAATGTCAGTAAATTCATTAGTGAATAATTCCATTAGTTAACAAATGTCAGTAAATTCATTAGTGAATAATTCCATTAGTTAACAAATGTCAGTAAATTCATTAGTGAATAATCCCATTAGTTAACAAATATCATTAAATCAGCATTCTTTTATCCAAATCTTAATCAGCGCCACTGTATTCAAAATGGTTGTGACTTGGGGGATTATAGTAGGCCTAGTAGGCATATGATTAGGAAGTGACCCTGGTGATTGGATAGTAAGTTCATGTAAGTTCCCCCAAAAATAAGTGGGCTAACCATGGCTAAGCCATCTATAAATGGATTACTGAGTGGACCACTGGAGGCTGTGGTGGACCCTCGGTTGATCTTGGCCCATAGAAATAGATGGTTTACCTACTAAAAGTGGGTGGATTTTCCATGGCGAACTGTAACAAACAACCAGATGGTAAGTACCTGGCTAGTCGAATAAATTGTCTCCAGGAAATTTGGGATGACCAACGCCGAGGATTTGTCAGCAGAGTGGAAGTGCAACTGTAATACCATAACACAGGGGTTGGTAAATGTCCATTCGGGGATTTTGAACATGACTTTCCAGTATCTGTTGGAGATTATATCACTATATCCCCAATACAGTAGTTGGGTAATGTAATGTTCAATGAGGGCATTTACCAGCTAGTGTAACAGCATGTAATTCCTGCTAAAAACATCGTTGACATCCCTCAAGGATCACCCAAATTATGGGAACCGATGATCTTCCAATAGAAACCATCTTGTGGCACAATGGTATTATAGGTATCATATATGTATATATAACTATAATTTTTGATGGTAAATCAATGATATCATTGATTTACCATCAACATTTCTATATCCCATTGATTTTATATCCACCATTTGCCTTCCAGCAACGGTCCCAAGGGTCCCCCACGTCCCAGGCTACCATACTTCCGCAACCGGCTGTGTATGGAGGCGGCTTGCTGGAAATTTGGCCTGGATACTAAAGATATCTATTTGTTATTTCAAGACTCCAACTGGGTATTTGAAGGTTTCAATTGAGTTCCAAATGTTGATGCCCGAAACTGCCTCTTTTGTTTTCTTTGGAATACTGAGCAGGTTCAGAAATTGCCCAGGTTCAGAAAGCTTGGGGGTACAAAAATCGGGATTCTGCCTCTGGATCTCAGTGACAGTCTGGTCAATGACTGGAACATCACCAAGTTCGACAGGTTCTGCTTGTTTTCAGCGCATGTTTGTGCTTTGTATCGCTACAGTAAATGGATGTTGATACTTGTATGAACGTGTTGGCATTTCTGTCTCAAATGTATATCCAATTTGGAAAGTGGCAAGTTTTGAACGACAGCCATTTGTATACTCTGGTATAGTACCGCTTCAAAGAAAACATCATGAACATTCATGAACTAGATGATTTTACTCAATTTTACTCCCCTTCATCAAGCATAAAACAGAACGGATTTCCGTGGGTTGAATGGTCAAAGCCCAGTGGATTCCAGCGATTCTAACGTCCGAGTTATGGCAGGGTGGCAGGGTCGAGCTGTGAATTGAATGGTGATATCTAGATATTTTTGGGATCTTGTTTCAGTCATGACCCTAAGTGGCAGCAAAACAAGGTAATGTCAACCCTGGATTAATAAACCCCTGGGCTGTTGAATTGGGGGGGGGTACCATTTAAGTATTAGATGACATGACTATTGGAGGAGTACCCCTCTAATTAATCAACCATGGTTTAGTCTCATCCGGGGTTGACATTACCCAGTCATGGGGGATTGGTATCCTACCCAGTCAGGTGACTTCCCCAATACTCTGCATATTGGGCGAACCTCCACCATCACGTTTACGTCCCCGGAGAGGCAACACCAATTAGTTCTTTTTCGCAGAGATATGAATGGTGGGTGAAGTTGCGATTGGGGCGAGACCCCCACATTTTTCTCACTGCCACCGCAGGGGCGGAACTTTCTTTTTGCCAAGTCTCTCAAAAACAGGTGAGCTGTGACTAAAATCCTCGTTCAATAAATTATATGAACATGTTCCAGGCAGCTTACTGCTTGGTTTATTGGGGATTAAAATCATGGGAATCACTCACTGTAAATTGCTTGACTCCACTCATCACTGGTGCAATTGCCGGTCGAGGCTCAATTTCCCTCTGATCTTTTGCACTGCCGCTTCCATCTGACATTTCTAAGAAAATAAGGGTGTTGGCCTTGGAACCAACACGGGGCTTACATGTCCTCACCTCCCTTTGAGAAAAAATCCGGAGGTGCACGACTGAACTTGCAAATGTGAAAATCAAATTGACACATGTGAAAAAACCGCACACGGCGGCCACTGTCTTTCAGCAACAGCTGCTGATGCTGCTGATGCATCCTCCACCTTCCCCTGCCAACCTTCCGTCTCATAATCTTTGAAGCATTTGTCCACTGTGTGGCAATCTGTTTTTCCAAGCAAGGCGTACTACAGGGACTGAATTTGGGTCAGTAATGTTGAAGGCCTGCTGTATGATGGCTCGGTGCTCCGGGGCAAACATGCTACGGATCACCCGTCCAAAATTCGCCAGGATCCATGCAGGGTGCCATGGTATGGGGAGCCACCAAACTTTCTGCTTTGACTCTGTTCTTTGTTTGTGAGTTTGCCACGCTTCAACAGCCAACATCTGCTCTAAGATTCCAGGCGGGGAACCTTGTGTCAGGAAGCGCTTTATGATTTGTCTCTTTGTTTCTTCCGCGGCCAGTCTGTCACTTGCTAGTTGGCACATGCTCTTTAGGTGTGCCACTGGCCAATTCTTTGTGCTAGGTGCGTGGGCAGAAAACTGGCTCAAGGGTACAGCCACACTTTTGGAATTTGGTATGACTCGAACCCTGCAGGTTTTTGCGCAAAGCACGATTCGAAACTGCAAAAATTGCAGTTCTTGAGGCTCTTTGGAATTGAAATCTACAACCTGTTCACAGATGACCTTGAAGTAGTCCGCGCTGTTGCGGAAGCGCTGGAACCACTGTTGGATTCCCACTCGGTTGTTGCTGAAAATGAGCCCGTTCAGTAAATTATATGAACATGTTCCAGGCAGCTTACTGCTTGGTTTATTGGGGATTAAAATCATGGGAATCACTCACTGTAAATTGCTTGACTCAATTCGGATGACCCATGCGGGAACTAAATTATTGATGACAGATCGCCATCATCGTCGTCGTCGTCGTCGTCGTCGTCGTCGTCGTCACCGTCATCATCGTCATCGTCATCATCATCACCACCACCACCAGCAGCATCATCATCATCATCATCATCATCACCAGCACTAGCACCATCACCACCACCACCATCACCACCATCACCATCACCATCATCATCATCATCATCATCATCATCAGCACCAGCACCAGCACCATCACCAGCATCATCATCATCATCATCATCAGCACCATCACCAGCATCATCATCATCATCATCATCACCATCATCATCATCACCAGCACCATCACCATCATCATCATCATCACCAGCACTAGCACTAGCACCACCACCACCATCATCATCATCATCATCACCATCATCATCATCATCATCATCACCAGCACTAGCACCATCACCACCACCACCACCACCATCATCATCATCATCACCAGCACTAGCACCATCACCACCACCACCACCATCACCACCATCACCACCACCACCACCATCATCATCATCATCAGGTTAAGACACACACTGACGACTTAGTGAACTTCATCACAGCGCGGCTTGGCGATATGTCAAAATGGGATGAGATGATGAGATGCAAATCCCGGACACTGGATTGACAAAGCCCTAGCCTAGCCTGTTAATGAATGTGGTGTTTTTTTTAAATGTGTTTCATCCCTTCTTTCGGTCATATTATATCCCTATATGGACCCCCAAAATGAAGAGATCCAATACTAGATTATTATTTTTTAAATAGGGGTAGCTATTCAATATTGGGGGAAGTGATTCGCAAGATAAAATGACGTTTTGGGCAAGGCCAAAGCTCAATTAGTGTAGATCAATCATGATAAAAAAATCTGGGTTTGACATGGGTAAACCTTGGTTTGGGTGATCTGTATGTCTGAGCAAAAAGTGGGACGAACAAAAACATACAAAATGGGGATTTAACATGATTTAACCAGAAATAAAGTGTGACTAATCAGGATTCGCAATCGCTATTGCTGTAGATGGGGTTGCAAAATCGGTGGGTTTTTAGGCTATTGATGCCATGACTTGGTTTGCTGGAAAATCACCCATATTTCCCATGAAGAGGTGGATTTTTTTCCAGCCAGCCACGTGAAAAATTACGGGAGGGTACGAAGCAAAAATGACATGCTTGGAGTTGCAAGTCGGGTGCCCCAAGTGTCTGCAGCACCCAGGCACCATAGATGGTTCGGAATGGACACCACCCCACTTAATCTGGACTTATTCCAGATTTGGGAATGATTTGCCAGAATCTGCCTTGGTTTGCAAGAACTCAAAGTGGAGCAACCAACTTTTCTGAAGGGAATCGGCTTAGAAACTCGGCTCAGAAATATGTCATCTGGGATAGTTTTTTTGGAAGGCACTGAATAGCTCCAAATCCCATCCTTGTGTAGGACATGCTTTTCATTTTTTTCACTTTGTAGTGGTGAGGTCCCAGAGTTTTTAGCTCCAATCTCTAGTTTGGCTGGTGATTTCCCGAAAAAAATGGCTGCTGAAATTTGTATCGATCCACCGTTATCAGCTGGGTAAGCAAAGATCAATTGATTTTTTTGGGGACATACAAATTGATCATCAGCCAGAGCCAACATATAGATGTTTATTGAAATGGAGGTCCCCCAAATCATCCATTTTAATAGGATGGTCCAGTATAAAGCATTATAAACCATCCATTTTGGGGTACCCACATTTACGGAAGGTTTTGATATGCTATTAGGTTTCATAGCTGGCTGGTTGGTGGTTTCACATACTGGTACTTTTGGCACGAATTGAAGCTGGAAAACCCATCATTTGTAGATCATTTCCAGAGGGAAACCATTGATTTCCCACATCTTTTTCTATGTTTACTCCAGGGTAGCCTTTGGCAATCCAACAATCTCCAAGATTTATGTAGCAATGCAAGATCACCATGTCAAAGAGGAACATCATATATCTGGAAATTATAAATTTTAGAGATGTGTTGCAGCCGCGCCAATTTTTTCCAATCTGACACGAGGCCCACGTGGCAGGCCATGAGTGTTTCTGTCCCAAGGGGTCCCTTGCCATCGCTTGGCCCAGGGAGAACAGCTCAGAGGTGGCTTGGTCGCACATGGCGGACCTGTACGGCCAATGAAGTTGGCACGTGAAGTCATAGCGGGTTAAAACCGGCTACAACGGGGATTTAAAGAACTGCTGGCTATTCTTATGTGCTAACTCCAGGATCACCCCAGAAGTTTGACTTGAAGCGTTTGAGGTGGGGCGGTAGAGGCCCCTTGGCAGTGTTGGTCGTTCAAGGATAGCTCAGCTGTTGTCATGGCAGAAACACCAGATCCCTTTGAATCCTTATTCCAGCGTCTGAGAAACAAAAAACCTTTTGACCAGTTTGTTTTGGTTGGTGTGCTTCGTTGTGTCACTCTCACAATTTTTAGGGCATCATGATTACTTTGGTAGATGAAACGAACTGAACTGGGTATGAAGCCGAGATGGTTTGCCGAGAACGAGACTCTGTTTCCCCACAGTCTGAACATAGGGAATGCCCCTACAAGTTGCAATTTTCATGGGAAAATGAGGTTTTCACCCCCTGGAATTTAGGGTTTTGACCCACCCTGGGCAGTGGGTTTTTATCCCGATTTGAGGCCATGGGCGCCCTTCAGAACCCAATTCGGACCCTTCCAGTTTCGCAGCGGCAGCATTGAGGGCGTTTTTATCTTTCGGTGTCTTTAAATATAACCATATGTGGGTTTCCATAAATGGTGGTACCCCATAAATGGATGGTTTTTCTGGTGGAAAATCCGAAACTCAGATGGATGATTTCGGGGTAGCCCTATGTCAGGAAACCTCCATATCTGCCTGATATTTCATACTGTCAATGAGGGCATATCACATTAGATGAAACTGAGCACCGGGGATTGACAGAATCCAAATCTGGTCATTGTTCGTTATCATGCTGTGCTTGTGGTAGTGGCGTGTTTTGCGGGATCCACCAATGACCAATTTGAATTATCGACCCAAGCTGGGGTGAAAAAACATATCCCCAAGAAGAGGTATTTTTTGGATGGTTTGGTTCTGTGGATCTCTGAATCAAACGCCAATGCTATGTGACCGAAATATTTTTGTTTTTTTGCTTTGCACCATGGAGCCATGGAGGATGGATTTACTATCATTTGATGTTTTACCCTCTGATTGTTTAAATTTATTTAACATAGCCATGGAAAATGACCCATTTATAGATGGTTTACCTATTACAAATGGTGATTTTCCATGGCGAACTGTTAGTCATAACCAGATGGTAGTTTTTCTTCATGTGGTTTCAACATGACAGGATTTGGTCACGGTCATAGTTTGATATGTTTGATCGATCCAGGGAAAGCAGTCCTTGGGGGATGCTCGAAACGGGATGGATGACCGATGACCATATCGCGTTTGAAACTGTCCATGACTGGTTGGTGGTGACTGGAACCATGGAATTTTTGATTAGACTTTCCAGAAACAGTTGGGATTAATGGATTATAGTGGTTTAATAGATTTTAATGGATTTTAATGGATTTTTCCAGAAACAGTTGGGAATTTCATCATCCCAACTGACTTTCACTCCATGATTTTTCAGAGGGGTAGGTGGCTCAGCCACCAACCAGATGATATCCCCATGAATCGGATGTCCCAGAAGGTGGTGTTTCTTCAGTTAGAAATGGGTGACAAAATCCCAACTAGTTCGATATATCACCAACAAAGTTACCATGGCGCGAAATTGGATGAACATAAAAGCACCAACCAACCAATCGCGATTTAGCGATCACTGGGGGGCACCAGCCTGCAGTAGCGTTGATGAAATTTCATGAAGTGCCGACATTTTAGACAAAACCAGGGCACAGTCCTTTGCCTTGATCCGGACGTCGCCATGACCATGGGAAAATGCGAGCGATGGATGCCCATTTCCATGAAAAATGGTGGTAGAATTTGAATGTAATGGAATTTTCATCAGATATGATTGACTATTGGTTAATGCCCTTTGGAAACCTAACAGTTTGCCATGGAACATAGTTATTTTTTTTTTAAAGCGACTAATCTGCTGTCATGGGTCATTTTCGATGTCAAAATGTGAAAGTACCAGAGGATAGTTTGAAAGAAAAGCATCATGTGTCATGTGTATATTTGATGGCACGAGAACTTGTGCAACCCGTAAATACAAACGTTTTAAATTGTGTAGTCCTCAGATTCTAAATTCTTTTGTTGAACCAGCGTTCAATCAGTGGTTGAAGAGTTGGTGTGTGATCCGCAGATCTATTCATGCTGGTGATGAAATTCCGTGAGCAAATCTTCGATCTCAAAAACATCACTGAAGAATAGAGATTGCGAAATGATACACAACATTATGAACTCGTTTTTGTACATATGTAAAAATATAGCTATATATAATCCTTTGATATCAGATATTATTCCATGATATTCCATTACTCCCTGTTTTTTTTTTCCGAAAAAAAACAAAAAACTCATGTTTCTTCCCATCTCGATCGCCCAAGGACCTCACTATGGATTTCGCGTGGATGGGCTGCAGCTGCTGCACTCCCGTCACTTTGGTCGGATGGGTTTCTGCGGAATCCGGGGATTGACTTTCATAGCAGTGGCTGCGATCTACCCCTGGCAGGGTTGATGATTAGTTCGGGGATTATACTACCTTTCATAGTCATTGGGGATTATATCATAATCCAAGAACGGGGAATCCCGTTCTTAACCAGGATGAAATGGAATGACAGAGGGGTTTTGAACACTGCTCATATTTCTTTACAACAGCAATCGCAGCAACAACAACAACAGCAACAACAGCAACAACAGCAACAACAGCATGCGGATACAATGGGATATATTCAACATATATTGGACGTATTCGTTTGGACATGTATATATCTGTATATGTTTGTTTGGATCTCTTGGGATATTTTTCGCCAGTATTTTGTGTTGTTCAAAAAGTAGGGGGTACGACTGCTCATTTTAAGGGGGAGATCGTGATAGACCATGGAAGCGAACCGTTCGCCGTGGCAGGAGTGTTTGGATCATGGTCGCTCAACATATCCAGTATTTTTGTTAGCCAGGACATGATGGGTCGTTTTACAGCATTCCCCCGATGTTTACATCTTTATTTCACTTTCCCCTCCAAACGTATCCAGTGTGGGAGCAACCCTGACTTTGTTTTGTTGATTGAAATATCCCAAGATGTCATATGGCTTTTGTGCCCACAAAGAATTCGTTAAACGGCGTGATGGCTGTCAAGGCCACATCTCCAAATGATCTTTTTTTTTTTTAAAACATTTTTTGGCATTGACTCTGCCATATGCTCCAGAGCGTTCTATGGGTCCAATCATTCGAAACCCGAACCTGTGTGGATGATGAAAACCAAATCCGAGGCCATGCGTGTGTGTTCTCCGGGGCAACCCTGCAGCCACGTGGCAGAAAAACAGGTTTTGCCAAAGAACTGGTGGTTGTACCAGGGGCTCAGCAAAAATATCTTGATTTCCAATATCAGGAGGTGTAGCTGGTTTAACAGGTTTCACCTGGTGGTTAGGCATTTTGTTTTTTCATCTGACCAGGTGGTGCTTCCTAATATTTTCTCTGCAGATGTCACTATTTTGAGGGAGGCTTTTCAACACTGTTTCACCGCGATATTTTGCCATCAACGCCAGTAGAGTTCGAGACCCCAAAGAAAGGGACCCACAAAAAATGGAGGATTAAGCATCAAAAACCATGGACAGTAGGAGGAACATATGGCCAGCATCAACTTACAACAACTGGCAGGATGTTTAGCGGCACGGGTCAGGATCTGCAGCTTGGATCGTGCTGAACCAGTTTTTTTTTGGTTTTTTTCCGGCTCATGTTGGACTTATGATTTGTTTTGGAGGTTGCTTTACATAAACCTACTGTCACGCACATTTTTTGGGATCAGTGTTTCTGCAGATGACCCATGAACGGTCAGATTTCCAGAGGATAAGCCATAAGCTATAGTTAATAATCCCATCACCGATTCAATACCCCCAGCAACAATAACAAGAAGAAGAAGAACAGAAAGAACAAGAACAAGAACAAGAAGAAGAAGAAGAACAACAACAAGAACAAGAACAAGAAGAACAAGAGCAGTAGTAATAATACAAATACACATGCCAAACAGCAACAACCAGCAACAACCAGCAACAACAACAGCAAGGACAACAGCAGTTCACATGACTTTGGTCGTTTGTTTCGAGGAAAAGATCCAGATTCTCCCCTGAACTTTCCGTGGCTTCGGGTGCTGGCGCTCTCATTGAAGTCACTGGTGGCAGGCTCAGGGGACGACTGGGACGAGAAACCCAACAGTCAAGCCACTTGGAGCCCTACAAAAAATATGAGGTCCCATCTTGAAGGAATCAGAAGTGGTAGCAGTATGTAACAGATTGTAACAGTACAAGCACATCCCATCTATCACTTGGTTATCTACCTACAAAGTGGTTACACACGATGTATAGATATGTATAGCTGGGGCAAACATCAAAGGAATTGGTGAACTAGCAACCATGGCTATTGACCACATACCAGTCACAATTGCATGCGGGTTTGTAACAGGTATTTGCATGCAATTGCCCTGGGTATATATAAATGGATATAAGATGATATAAGTAGCTTATATAGGTGCTTATATAATTATATAGTTTTACAAAAAATGTTTTTATAGCATTCATCCGACAAGCATGTTGTGTAAAAGGGTTATGATCCTAATCAAGCATCCCAATTTTTGACACATACCCCATGCCTGTCTGGTTGCAGGCCACTCGATATTGCAGTGGGGATTTGCGAGCCAGTAAGAGCACCAAGTGGATAGATGAGACTCAACCCTCCCAAACATTGGGTGTGGAAGATTATATTCCTATTGGATATGGCAGTTTTTTAGGTTCTACAATCAAGGACGCCTATTTTTTAAGGGCTCGTATCTCAAATCAGGGGGTGATTTTACCATGGTACCAATAAGGTTCCCTAAGTCCAACTCCATCATTTTTCATCCCATCAAAATTCCCATGTACTCTGGGTAATTCCACGTGAAATCCCATGGTTTTGCTGTGAACATCTCCATCTTGCGCTGCTCAAGACATGTCCATTTCGAAGTCCGCTGGTGTTTCACCCCGTCATGGCACGGATCTGTTTCGGAAAAATCTGGTTCGGTGATCCGATGGAATCGGTCACTCACCAATAAAATCACCATTTTTTTTGGGTAAATCAATGGGCTAAATGACCAGGTTCTTGGGTAAATCCTCTGAAATCACTGAAACCACCATGACTTGGGGACCCGGCTTGGGGACCCGGGTTTTTGCCAGACGCTAATGTGGACAGGGCACTGTACCAGCTTGACCCAGCTCTTGGTGGTGCCAGCAGTGTCGATGGTTTTGATGCCGTTCCTTGGAAGACATGGTCAAGTTACATGGTGAAAAAATATTAACATGGCTTTGTCTGAACATACATGACCTCTTTTTTTAAAAGCCATGGCCAAATATCATCACCATTGATCCTAGTTATCAAATAGCCATGGATTTTGGGGTATAGGCCATAGTAGAGACCCAAATCACTTCGGGGTCATGGCTTTTCTATAGCCATGATGAAGCTGGAATCCGTAGCGGGATGAGCATCGCGGGATGACACGCCACGCCAACTAGGGCTGGTAAAAATCGCGACGTTTTTTTAGGCCTCACCTGACTTATAAAACCCTCATTGAACTTGCTAGAGGATTCCTAGTGATCAATGGTATACAGCTTTGGTATACGGATATGGTTTTCCTTTCCATTCGAAGGACCTTGTAGGGACCCAGTCTGACGACTGTTTACATTGTTCACCGCCTTTTTCATTACCACTGAATGGGATATAGTATATATATATATACCATAGTATATATCATGGGATATTAATGATATACCTATGGCTAATTACCAATAATTACCTATTCTATATTTTTTGGTATATACAATCAATGATATATCAATGATTGCCATGGCTTATAGCTATTATGGCCATCCCATCATGATTTTTCTATCGCCAGATTTTTCATCAGGCCATATAGGTTGGCATGGCATGGCATGGCGCACCCGCATAGCTTAGATCAGTTTTTTGTGATCTCTGCAGATGCTGCAGTGATGCCACAATTTCCCAACCGTTGAAACATCAAAAAAAATTGAGGTCTTTGCGATTTTGCTTTCAAATATTTCACAGTTTTCCCTGTGATTTTCCATGTTTTCCACAAAAAAATCCCTGTGATTTTCCACATTTTCTCCGTTTTTTCCCAGCAGTTTTTCGTTGGTCGCCGGAGGTTGTTGGAGGAGTATGTCGGTGCCTTGGCGCCCTACTTGGGTAGCGTGGTGGGCTACACCTACTCACGCTTGCTGGACCGGGACGAACTAATGGGGGAACCATGAAGGAACCAACAGAAATGATGGTATAGGGATATATAATCTGACTATTGACCGGTGTGGTAGGTTAGAGTACTTCAATTATTGAACTTCAGGGCAAATATCACCTGATCAGCTCATACAGTAGCCAAGGTTTACTCTGGAATTTCGCATTCTATGGAAATTTTAGGATGGGTTAGTACCATGGGACCGTTGGAATAGGGTGATGAACATCCATCTATGCAATTATACAAGCTATTTTGGTGCAAAAACACATAGGCTACCAGGGTTTTGACTCATCAATGAAGTCCTAGTTCATCCCAACTATGGGCAGTTTTTCAACCTATCTGGATTTTGGAGGTGGCCCTTGATTGAAAACATACGAAAAGCACACCTCAAAAAGAGACCCCGTTTTTTTTCTCCGAAAATCGGCGACCCCCAAATTTGATGGTTTGAAACCTCAGCTCGCTACCTGCCGGTGTCATCATGTCCATGGCTGGAAAATCCCCCCCGTGGCCGTTCACCATGGAGGTGGCTAGTTCGCTGGGAACATCATTTTTTTTTTTTCAGAAAGCGGAGGGTATATTCCATGATTTCCCACGATATTCCCGTGAATTCTTGGGGAAAGACAGGAAATGCTTGATGGTGAATCTCCAGTCCCAGAAAATGTCCCATTGTTCTTGTGATTTTCACATTAAAGTGGTGTTTTCCCAATTACATTCCCACAATTTCCCACACATCCGAAGTATTAATATTACAGGATGGCCCCCCCCAGTTATAAGTTGGCTTATAACCCCCATTAACATCCACTAAGTATAGTTATATCTACCAGAAACCATAGTTTTTTTTGCCACATGTTTCAGACAACTGAAAAATAGCTATCGACTGGGGCCCCCATCCTGTAGCATTCTTATCCCAATGATACACCAGCCAGCGACAGCAGGACGAGTTGCTTCTGGGTCGCTACTGCATCTACTTGACCACCCACGTGGCGGGTGAAGTCATAGCGGGCGAGACGCTGACCCAGGACGAACGGTTTCGAGATGTTTTAGGTGTACATATTAGGGGCGTTTCATACATGGGGGTACCCCAATAGCTGGATGGTAAATCCTATTAAAGTAGATGATTTAGGGGTACCCCTTCATTTCAGGAAACCTCCATATAGTGGATATATAATGGGAATATACCAATCGTAATGGGTATGTAATGGGATATATATATATATATACAAGAATAGTTTTTATGTGGAGGTTTCCTAAGCCATGGGGGTACCCCGAAATCATCCAAGTCATGGATGACCATTTAAGTATTGAAACCCATGGTGACTTGGGGATCCCCCATTTTAACGCCCATGGGGTAAGATCAGCATGGGTCAAAAGCCTGGATTTTTTGCTGTTCATCCTCCCAAATATGGTATAATGCGTCTTGATCCATCAACAAATGGAATACATGTGGGAGGTATGTGATAAACCTCCTTTTTGAGGATAGATAGTGTGTTGAATGCCACCCACATGGTAATTGGATGTCAATGGGACATGGTGCATTTATTCCGGTTGGCCTGAAAGTTTTTCATTGATTCATTTCCACGAAACGACCGAAAAAACCCAGCCTTGTTTGAATATACCCTCTGGTAAACTAACATAACTATGGAAAATCACCATGTTCAATGGGAAAACTATAAATGGCAATGTTCAATAGCTATGTTTGTTTACCAGAGGGTACACAAGTATCCCTAACTCAAAGTTTCAACACCCACAATATGGGATTGGCTCAAACTCCTGAAATTGGATGATTCATTGAAATGATAAATCTCGTTCTTCCAGTGGCACCTCATTTGAGAAAATCTTCGCCATATCCGTGTATCCAGCAGTCGGCATCTTCCCTTATCCATGCATCGAAAGATTCAGAAATTCAGGGTTTCGTCCTGGAGATTTCGACCCACCATGGGGGGAAACATCAAACAATCAGGACATGAGGTGCATCGATCACCTGTACAAGATCCACATTCCAGGCAGCTAGCGGGCGTAGCATCGACTTGGGAACGGTGTACCTAGTGTACCTATGGTTCCAAAAAAGAAGATGCAAACTGGGTGAACATTTCGATTTTTTGGTTGGATTTACATCCGCATCTGGTGTGTCTTCCTGCAAGGGTTATCCGAACGCCCCATCAGGAGGTTGGATGACCCATCAAACATCATCAAACTATGTGTCCATCACCCAACACGTTACAAAACCCAAACCAACCTACTATGACCTAGCTAACTTTTCTAACTTGGCTAACTTGCTTAGTTGTACTTGGTTGGCCAAGTATCCCCATGATATCCTCATGAACCACCATCATTTTCGACAAAAATCACAGGCATTTTCGGCCTCATCCCCGCCAAGGAGGTAGGGTTATTTTCGCCGGGCGGAAGCAGCGGAAGTTTCTGCTTGGAGATTTCATCACTTGGGGAATCTATGGCTAAACAAAATCACTGGCATTTCAGTAGGGGAAAATCTATAAAACTCAACAGATTCCAATCAAAGATGGCATTTCAGATGGCAAAACGACAAAACGTTTTTAGGCGTTTCGCGTTGGGGATTTCGCACACGATTTCCATGGAGATCAACATGGTGTCTGAAAACAGGGTCCCAAGAATCGCGCCATTTTTGATTAGAGAAGTTGATGATGAACCGGTGGATTTGGAAGGACCGTATTTTCAGATACACCCTTTTTCATCCTTCTATGGACCATAAAGATCCATAAGTTTTTTTTTCACTTTGAACTGTTGACGTTTTTCAGGGTGTGTAAATGGATCACAAATCATTGGCTACGCAACAAATTTCCATGGCGATTTAAACATCCTTTTTTCAGTGATCAAGATCCGTGCTGGAATTGTCAGGGGTTGACGGTGTCCGAGTTCACTAGGATGATGTGTCAGGTCCCATTTACAAGTAGGTACCCATCATTTTAGGCTTCAACAAGGCAGCCTCAAACAACTATCCGAGAGAAAGTGTTTTCTTACCGTTCCTGAACTTTATTTGGAGGTTTCCTGAAATAGGGGTACCCCCAAATCAATTTATGGATTTTCCACAAGATAAACCATCCAGCTATTGGGGTACCCCCATGACTTAGGAAACCCCCATTTCTTGGAATGTGTGTTTGCCTCATAGATACTACAGGGTGGTGTGCCCCATAGTTAGCTAAGTTGGTGCAAATAAGTCCAATTTCACTATGGTTTATAGGTGATATATCTATGGTAGTTTAGTTAATGGTATTATAACCCATTTATAACTGGGGGCACCACCTTGTGTAAATCTTTGTCTATCACCTTTGTCGGAGCTTGAACTCTGATCTTGTTGAGCATCAATGGTCGTCCGGAATTGTGCGTTTTGAATCATCTTCAGCCCAAAAACCTCCAAAACTCAACAAAAAAAACATGATCTTGTTGCAATGAAATTGTTGTTGGCTAAAATTCTTCCAAGTTGAGTAGATGGTTTTGAAACTTCACGCCCCCTCCATGGACGTCCGATTTTCCACTTGTATCGAGAGGTGTCAAACCCTGAGAGCTCCTTGGTGTGTTGGCCCACGGCGGAAGCGTTGAGTCGAGGCGCCGGTTCTGCGGCACTGCGCGTTGCACGCAGTTAATTTCTGGCTGGAGTTCAAGGGAAAATGGGGAAACATCATGGGGATATCATGGGGATATGATGAGGATATGATGGGGATACTCAGTATACCCACTGGTGAACTAACATAGCTATGGAAAATCACCATTTTTAATGGGTAAATCCACTATAAATGGTCATTTTCCATTGCTATGTTAGTTTACCAGAGGGTAACGAAGATTTTCACCAAGTATATCCGAGCTAGCTAAGTTGGTTCACGAATGACTTGGTTTTACTGTTGGATGAATGGTGGAAATCGAGACGGGCTTGCAACTTACAACTGGAAGGCGCTTGCATGAAGCACCATTCATTAAAAGTGAGTTTTTTTTAGTGAGTTTAATGGGAATCTATTGGGAGATGAAGAATCAATCAGTGATTCCCATGATAACATCATGGGAATGATTGGTGTGATTGTTTGGTGGGAATTCTGGTTCATGATTCTCATCCCATATCACTGCTATGGCGAATTCTAGTCCAATATGGTGACTTCGTCCCTGACGCTCAGAAAGCCTGGTAAACTCCATGGAAGCTATGGAGGTGGAGGATGAGGACGAAGAGGAACAGGAAGATCTGACGATCCCGGCGTGTCTTGACTCTCTCAAGAGGTGTTTCTTTCCACATGTTGGGGGAAATGCAGCAGTGCAGAAAACCATTTTTGAAGTTGAGGAAATTCTCTGGGTGATTTTTCATATATATATATACATATATGTATATATATATATACATATATATATATACGTATTATAGTTAGAGTGAAAATTAGTTAGACACGACCCTGGATTGATAAAGCCCGCTGTTCTTTTTTTGGGGCTTTCCGCTGTGGTGGATTTCTGCCTTCCTGGATTCCTGGAGGATCACCTGGATAAAAAGTCGCCCCAGCCACCAAGATAGAACAGGTGCAAAAGAAAATGACTATAAAAAAGTGGGATAATTTAGAAGACGACTGATAAATCTTTTTGGGAACAAAGTATCACATTTTGGCTACAACGTAACTTGACTTACACTGACAAAACGGCCCCGCTTAAATGGGGCACAGAAGGGATCACTTTATTCCCAGCGCACCGTTGCCATTTAGAAGGGAGAGGAAAGGCAATTCCTGGCTTCATAGCCGCCATAGCCCATAAAATTGGGTGTTCCAAAGCGAACTATATTGTACCGTTGTATACCGTTGTACCATATTGTACATGACAATGACATGGTGTTTTTTTCCATGTTTTACCGTGGTCAACAGTTCCACCACAGTTCCAACATTGGAATCTCCGAAATTGAGGATTCCTTCGCCAGAGCTCCTATCAAAGGACAAGGTGACTTTGGGAATGGGTTGAGGCCGGCAGGGGTTTTCTGTCCGAAAAAGACGGGCAAAAAATGACCCACCAAAATCAGGATTTTGACGCATTGTATTTATGTACAGGATATATTATATATGTTTTTGATCCACAGATTGGTGATTTAGACGTTTACCCAACATAATCAAAGAGTTCACGCCGATTGAGGCTCCCCCAATCCGACAGTGAATGCAGAAAAATTGCTTGCTCATTTTCACATTCATATAACTTCGATATCTATCTATCTATCTATCCTATCTAATCTAATCTAATCGAAACTAATCTAATCTAATCTTATCCAATCCAATCTAATCTAATCTAATCTTATCTTATCTAATGTTATCTAATTTTATCTAATCTAATCTATCTATCTATCTATCTATCTATGGATAAATTAGAACGACCTCACTGCAACGTCAGAGTAGATGGTGATCAGAAATGGGGGAATCATCCCAAAATGATTGAACATTTCAGGTTAGTCAATGATTCTGATTTATCCAGATCTATAGATGTGGAGGTTTCCTAAAATGGGGATACCACCAAATCATCCATTTCAATAGGATTTTGCATTATAAACATTTATAAACCACCCATTTTGGGATACCTCCATTTTAGGAAACCTGCATGTAACCATTGACCATCTGGAACCACAGCTTGCGCTTTCACAGCCTACGGATGCTTCAGCACCCATGGCGGGAAAAACACACATGGTAAAAGAATGTAAAAAGAGTCTGAATCCATTTATAATCTTATTTTATGATTTATTTATATCAACAACTAACATTCTATGTTAAGTCTTAATCCATTTATGATATATTTATCTAGCAATCAGCCATGTTAGTTGTTGACCAATCTCCCTTCTGGGTCCAATCTCCGATCTCATCCCAGCGGAATCCGCTGGGATGATTCCTGGTGGGTTTGGTGAAATTTGACATACCCTGTGGTGAAATGTCAAAGTAGCTTCAATAAAGCCATGGCCCAGTCGTTTTTCATAGTTGATTTACCAAATGGAAAAATGGTGATTTTTCATAGTTATGAAAACGTTTACCAGAGGGTAATTTATCAACTGGACCAAGGATTATCAAGGATTTTGGTATGGCAGCATTTTCGACGGCTCTGGACCCGTCAGAGCCAAGAATGGGTCATTTTGAATCTCAAATCATCCATTTTCCGGGGAGAATCATTTCGAGCCATAGCCATTTGGAAGGATTTTATGCTTTGGATGCATCATTTTTCTTGCTTTGATTGCTTGAACCCATTCCATTGCTACAAATACACAATGATGTGGTTCGGATCGAGGTATTGGTCAGATCAGCATTTGACAAATTTAAGAGTCCCCAGTGGTGTTTAATGGGACAGTTACTGTACTAACTGAATTATCCCGGTAAACCGGACTGGATCCCACTGGTGTTTGTTGGCCACTGTTTAACTGGACATTAACTGGCTTAGTCCGAAAATTAAGATGACATTTTTGTTTAACTGGCTTTAAGTGGATATTTTGTTAGCCACTAACATTAACCTATCCCATATTAAGTATACATAAATCACCATTAAATCCCATTAAATCACCATTAAATCCCATTAAATCACCATTAAATCCCATTAAATCAACATTAAATCCCATTAAATCACCATTAAATCCCATTAAATCACCATTAAATCCCATTAAATCAACATTAAATCCCATTAAATCACCATTAAATCCCATTAAATCACCATTAAATCCCATTAAATCAACATTAAATCCCATTAAATCAACATTAAATCCCATTAAATCAACATTAAATCCCATTAAATCACCATGAAATCCCATTAAATCACCATTAAATCACCATTAAATCCCATTAAATCACCATTAAATCCCATTAAATCACCATTAAATCCCATTAAATCACCATTAAATCCCATTGAATCACAATTAAATCCCATTAAATCACCATTAAATCCCATTAAATCAACATTAAATCCCATTAAATCACCATTAAATCCCATTAAATCAACATTAAATCCCATTAAATCACCATTAAATCCCATTAAATCACCATTAAATCCCATTAAATCACCATTAAATCACCATTAAATCCCATTAAATCACCATTAAATCCCCATTAAATCCCCATTAAATCCCCATTAAATCCCCATTAAACCCCCATTAAATCCCCATTAAATCCCCATTAAATCCCCATTAAATCCCCATTAAATCCCCATTAA